GGAAAGGAACAGTATTGGTCCTCTAGTATCTCTTGTATTGAAGAACCAGGAGACCACATGTGACGGCCAACCTCTCCCTCGTCCCTCAAGATCCCCTCGTGACCATACAAGTGAGAGATCATGTGACTTTTGATGATAGTCATGTGATGTTGTGTAGGTAAGGATGAGGAGTGGGCGGAGTGAGGGGAGGTGTGGTGAGAAAGGAAGTTGTGATGATGAAAGCTATGCTACCTCCTGAGTAAGAATATTAATGTGTCTATTAATGAATACTGTATAGTATAAATTTATGAGTGTGACCTAATATTTTTGTAAACAGCCAAAGCCACTTTCATTTTTAATGTGCTTACCTTGTAACCATGTGGGAAATAAAAATTATAGTAATAAATTTTTGTTGCTTTTTTTCTCAAATTCTTATTTCCAAAATTTGGCACATTTTTGACTGTTGACATGTGTACATGTACACACGTAGCTCCAAAATTTAGTGATGAGAATTAGCTTAAACATTTTATACAGCATGAAAATACAATGTACATGTACATTGCACATATTTAATACAAATTTAACATGTTTATGAATTAAAATTAGTAATAAATATTTTAGAGTCTATTTTGTCAATAAACCACAAAATATTAAATTTAATTACACTGTCTCTCTCAGAGGTTCCCTGTCATGGACTGGTGATATATTATGTAGTGGGTCAATATTACAGTGGGACCCACATCTACCAGGAGACTATTAGACCACACCCAGGAGGTCTGTGGGATTCACTGGTCACCAAATCATCAGCAACTGGTATCAGGAGGAAATGATAATATAGTGAGTTTATGATTTTATTATTTTATTTTATTGGCTTTAAAATCAACCCCCATTTTTATTACATTTTCTGATGTATATTGATGTTCTTATGCTATGTAGAAAATTTGAGCTTATTCTGACAAATATTTTCTGAGTTATGAACATTTTTAAAAAACAGCCATTTTCTGAAAAATACCCAAGGCTATAGCCCATGCTTTTTTCTAAAAAATGGCTAAGAGCTGTTTCCGACAAATAATTTTTGAGTTATGAGCATTTTTAAAAAAAACAGCCATTTTCGGAAAAATTATAGCCCATACTTTTTGTAAAAATTGGCTATGAAATCACCCCCAATTTTTATTACATTTCCTGATACATATTGATGTCCTTATACTGTATAGAAAATTTGAGTTGTTTCCGACAAATAATTTTTGAGTTATGAGCATTTTTAAAACTTGGTCAAATTTTGAAAAATACCCCAGGCTATAGCCCATGCTTTTTTGTAAAAAATGGCTCCGAAATCACCCCCAATTTTTATTACATTTCCTGATACATATTGATATCCTTATGCTGTGTAGAAAATTTTGAGTTGTTTCTGACAAATAATTTTTGAGTTATGAGCTTTTTAGAAATAAGCCAAATTTTGAAAAATATTCCCATGCTTTTTTCTTTAAAAAGGCTCCGAAATTACCCCCAATTTCTATTACATTTTCTTATATACTATGTCCCAACTGAGAATGGACCGGAAGTGGAAGCAGCTGCATTGGAATTTGAAAAATGTATCTACGACACTAATGACGTATTATAATGATATTCATAGAGACATGGCCGATATTTTGGCTATCTTGTTTCACTCTTAAAACAGTCTTGCTCTTCCTGATAAGCAGTACAATAGCTACTGGAGTCAACTAGTCTTCATAAAGGCCATCATTATCAGAAGATCTCGCTCTGTTAGCTTTTTAAAAGAAGAATTATCAGTTTGGGCACTGGACCACATGTGCTTATGTAAACTGTGACATCATAGAACATCATTGCGGTTAGCTTTGGTATGCCATTGGGTTTATAGGGAGAACCCAGTTCTCAGGGTTCCCAAGGGCTGAGAGACCCAAGACCTGAGATCCTGAAGCGGCATTGGGCGACTAAGAACCTGTGAAAGTCTCATCCTTATCCCACATTCCCTTAAAAAGTTATTCCAGTTTTTCTTGGTCCAAAGTCAGTTGGGACATAGTATACATATTGATGTCCTTATGCTGTGTAGAACTTTGAACTGTTTCCGACAAATAATTTTTGAGTTATATGCATTTTAAAAAATAGACCAATTTTTGCAAAATACCCAAGGCTTATAGCTATAGCCCATGCTTTTTTCTTAAAAAAGGCTCCGAAATTACCCCATATTTCTATTACATTTTCTGATACATATTGATGCCCTTATGCTATGTATAAAATTTGAGCTGATAATTTTCCAGTTATAAGTATTCAAGAATTTAAAAAACTGAGCCAAATTTGAAAAAGCAAAGGCTATGTGCATCCATGTACTGTACATGTACATGTCTACGTACATTTTCTTTTACTTATTACATGATACATTGTTTATTGGTATCATTAGGTTACGGTATACTGTTACTGTTCTTATGGGGTACCCAATGTATGCTCCTTTTCATCAAAGAGGGTAAGTCATGTTACTTCTCATGATGTCATTCCATTCTTTCTCTCTTGATCCTCTCTCTCTTGATCCTCTCTCTCTTGATCCTCTCTCTCTTCCTCCTACTTTCTATAGAAGAATTACTCTAACAACTAGATCAGTAGCATTGCTGAGGAAAATGATTGTTCCTATGACAACTGTACATGCACATGTACTGGTACATCCATGAAAAGATACTCAAGAATTTTACTTTTTCTTTTTTTTGTCGTGTATTGTCATAATTTTTAAAAAGCAATTGCTCTGATAAAATTAAGAATACAATTTAATAAGCAACAACAATAATAGAATTTTGATGCATTGAAATAAAGCATCTATCTTTGGAAGGACAAAAATTAATTATACTAATCTTTTATAATTGTCTAATAGTGTCTGTGCTAGTCTATCAGCTCTTCTTGTATTCTCTTGTTTAATTATTTCTAGAAACAAACCAAAATCTTCTCCATCCTCTCTAATGGATGCTTTAACTAAACTAAGCAGCTCGTCCATTCTTTGATTAGCAGTTAGTCCAGTGCTAGTATCAATAATTTGACTTTTCTCAGCATCACTTATCATCCTCTTCTCAACCAGCCTGTCTATCAGTGGATACAGACCAACCCTTTCCTTTATCATTCCAGTACATTCTGTCAATACTCTATGAGCAATATCAGATCTAAATGTACCTATTAATGATACATATTTAGTGATTAGTGTGTTATTATGATAATATCAACCATACCTTCTTCATTCCCTCTCCTGGTTTGACTGATACTAGCAGTAGAGGAGCTGGAGCTAGTACCTTGTACTGTTGAAGGAGGAGGAGGAGCAGTTCTCAGTGATCGGTGAATGAATAATGTAACAGGATCAGCCACTCCATCCAGTGGTACAGAGTAATGTAGTGATGGTACAGCACCAGGTGATCCATAGACTGATACCAGACAACATGGAGGAAGAGGATAATTGGCTTCACCAAAATTATCAACATCGCAACGACGCAACTATTAAAATACACATACCAACCATCAGTTATACATTATATTGCAGTACTTACTCTACAAGGATGAAGTTGAGGCTCAATAGTCCATCCAGTGCAGGGGCGTATCTAGGAATTGGGGAAGGGGGGTGCTGAGGGCGCGCG